AATACATACACATACATATACACATGTATGTAGAAAAAATTAATAGACAAAATAAAATTAAAATAAAACAAAATCAAAATAAGCCAGATGAAGGTTGCACAGAATCTACTCCCACCCCCTTAACTACAACATATACCACCAGTCTGAACCACTGTGACAGTATGTTTGGCTGGAAAATGTGGATTTTTGAATATTATTAACAAATCAAATCTTTAAGTGAAATGTTCTTGTCAAAATGTCTTTGGAGATCCAACTGGAAATCAGTCCAGAAGATAGTCACATGTGCACACTGAAAGAATAAGTAAAGGATTGGGGTGTTGGTGGCTTAGTGGTAGAGCAGGCGCCCCATGTACAAGGCTGTTGCCGCAGCGGCTCGGGTTCAACTCCAGCCTGTGGCCCTTTGCTGCATGTCTCTTCCTCTCTCTCTCTCTCTCTTCCCCTTTCACACTTTACTATCCTATCAATTAAAGGCAAAAAATGCCCATAAAAATATCTTTAAAAAAAGAATAAGTAAAGGAAGCTGAAGTTCTTTGTATTATTTTTTTATGTATATTTTTTTATTAATCACAAGAAGAATGTACAGAACATGTTGGGGAATACAAGTTCAAGAATAAAATAAATTAGCAGCAATTGTTGAAATGATGCCAAAGCACAAACATAAACAAAAAGGCAACAAAAATAAAAGGGAGTAACAATCAGGTAAATAAAAAAGCAGCACAAGAGAGCAAAGGCAAGAGACTTTAAAAGAGCAAGGACCTAGATATAGATGTATACAGTTTGTTGGCTTAACTATTCAATTTGTCTGTATATATTTTAGCAACATGGAGTAGTTGGCAATGTTATATATGAGCACAGTGAAAGAGGGAGGACATCCTTTTCCATTTACAAGTATGAAGGTGGGATTTACCCAAAATATTTACAAGATTAATAGATTACCACCTGACATGTTCCACCCACTCAAACACCGTTGCAGACCAAGTACCCCCCCTCATGGCAACAGTACTCCCCAATGGCAGTGGACCCCCAGCAGGATAATGCATCATGCCACACTGCAAAAACTGTTTAGAAATGGCCTGTGGAGCGTGACAAAAAGCTCAAGGTGTAGACCTGGCTTCTAAATTTCCCAGGTCCCAATCTGCTCAAGGATTCTTGTGATGTGCAGGTACCCCAGATGTACCCTAATCCAAGGTGGGGCCTCCTTGGATCGGACTTGGCTCTGACCTGTGGAGGCATGGACACAGGATCTCTGGGAGTGTCCTGCGGTGTCTGGCACCAGTGTGTTGGCGGCAGATCCATTTAGTCCAGTGGGTTGTGAGGTGGGTTAATGGCACGTGCCACAGATGCTCATTCAGATTGGGATCTGGGGAATTTGGAGGCCAGGCTGACACTTTGAGGTCTTTGTCACATTCCTTGGGCCATTCCTGAGCCATGTTTGCAGTGTGGCATGGTGCATTAACCCTCTTGGGGTCCACTGCCATTGGGGAGTACTGTTGCCATGAGGGGGGGTACTTGGTCTGCAACGGTGTTTGAGTGGGTGGAGCATGTCAGGTGGTATCCACATGAATGCCAGAACCAAAGGATTCCCAGCAGAACAATGCATTGGAGTCTGACAATGAAAAATCTTAACAATGCTAATTAAATATGTATAAAAGTTCATGTACGTAAAAACAAAAGAGCAAATGCCATGTTTATGTATGCATTCATCTGTCACATAAGCAAAGACAAGACTGTTCTCCATCTAACTCATCAATATATTATTCGCCCATCTCACAACAGGCAGCAGCCACCAAGAGGAAGGAAGAGGAACAAAAGTCAAGGTAAAGTCCCTGATTTAAGAAATGCAGAATAAAAAACATAATCTTGTACATTCAAAACCACATCTGACTTCTGTAACTGTCTAGGTGAAGTATTGCGAACACATGGAGGGTGAGGAGTGTTGTACAGTTATAGAGTTTTCAGTGATTAATTACTAACTACTTCTACTAATTTAAAATAAATGCTCATTAGAGATCTTTTTGCCTCGCTACGCAACACTGGAATCAACTGCGGGTCAGTGAGAGCTCCTGTTACTCTGTGGGTCAGACTTCGATTAAATCTTAGTGCAGCTTTAAATTATAGAGTGGATATTTACATTTACTTGTAGGCGTAACAGAGACCGTGCATTTTAAAGTATAGGACAAAGGGTATAGAATATTACTGGCAACACACTGATAAATGGAACAAGTTAAACCTTTTGATTTTTAGGACCCAAGACTACAAAATTGAAACAATAAAAATTTAAATCAATGGTGAAATTGAAAAGAATTTGTTGACATTTAATGACCATTGGTAGGAATTTCCCTCACACTGTTAGGAGATACACCTGCTTTTCACTACACGTTCGCATGTGTGTGATGGCTGCTTCACGTATTGTGCGTCTGTTCGGAACATTGGCTGTGCACATCCCAAGAAATTCATGTGACACGTCAGCAAGATGCAATATGCACATGAATAGTAGGGGCAGTGTTGGCAGATCAAGAAACACTCGCCATTGTCACGTGTCGCCTGATTTATCATCTACAAATGGCACTGCTGTTGCTTTTTCTACCATTATGTCAAATAATGTAGTAACCATCTCAAGTGTCGCCATGTTAATTGTTAAAATCATGCAAATGTATAGGTTATATACAGTCTGAGTTCTTTGGTGTGCCCCCCCCCATTGGAATCCTCCAGTCACACACATAGTACACGGGTCTGTCTCCAGCCTCATACAGCAGAGGCCATTACCTGAATAAAGGCATTATTCTCTTATTCTTTAAAAAGTGTTCCTTGGCTTTTAAAATCATCTAAATAATAGAGCTATACATTAATTATTTGCTTGTTTTTCCACCATGTTGGCTCCTTTGATGAAAATGGACTGGATTAAATGGACTGATCCCAAACAGCAGAGTTTTAGACAAATGATGTAACACAAACTATTGTGAGGGGACGCAGAAGTGTTGAACACACACTGCAAGGGAACACAAAAGCTTTTTTTCCCTCATTGTGGCCCTTTTGGGACTCCATAGTTAGACGTTCACAACAACAACACAGACATAGTCACTTCTTTTGTGTAACTGAAACAAACGCCTTGGTGAGTAGGGACTCCAGCGCAGGCATGGTGGACGGAGATGTTCTGATTTGTACATAACAGTCAGGGAATAAAGTGAGGTGACCTGCTTAAAAATGCTCATGTTTATTGGAAAAGCTCATCTCCACAGGCACAGCGGTGCAGCATTACTTTAAAACAAGGCTTAACCTTTTGGCTCAAGTCAATTTTAAGTAAAACAGTCAAGGATGGGTTCATGCAAATAAGATTTCCATGCAAGTTTCATGTCGTCTCTACATTCTCTATGGATAAATACGTGTGTTGTAGGTGATACAGGTTAGCTACTTATTTAACTTGCTGCCCACATGTCATAATTAGAAAAGATTTGTGGCCTACACTTAAATGTGCTCGTTGAATACATTGTTTGTGCTTACTCATCTAAAATGCCTACGTCAAGATGAGATTAGTTGTATCATTATTGCTGTGGTCATCGAAACATAAAACCAGCCACGTTTGCTGACTCGTGGAAACAGATACAGTACATTGCATAAATAGTGAACTGAATGTAAACAAACAAGTTCAGGTAGAAATACCAAAACATCTGTTTTCAAGCCGCTTTAAGACTGAAATATACATTTCACTGCCTCTGAATAAGTGCATTTATATTTAAATGAGTAATTCAAGTACTTTTTCTGTCACTCTTAACAAAACAAGCTCATTTCATGCTATGATTCACATTTTTTTGTAGAGTAATGCAAACAGATGAAAAGTCACAAGGACCATTTCAGTAGTTTTTCATTCAGTGTGACGACAGTCGGTACAAACTGGCTCTCTGTGATAAAGTCCCCAGCAATGATGTTGAGAGAGCCGACTCTGGAGCCGGGGGTCTGCTCCTTGACCCAGCTCAGCAGCGTTGGATACGTGGACATCACCAAGTCCTTCAGGGACTCTGTAGGGTGTGTGCAGATGTACTTCAGGTCCTCTGTCAGATTGATTCCTGTGACGAAGAAACCTCCTGAAACACAAAATAAGCACAATATTTAATGAAAGCTGTGGACCAAATACTGCTTTAATTCAAAAGTAATAAATCATCAATTAGTTAATTTTGATTACCTGGTCGGCCGTGTTGTTTCCTGTGTTCAAACTCCTCGATAAGAGCCTCAGCTTTGCATTTGTTGGCCCACCAGTAAGGAATGTGTGGCCACAGGTCGATGTGACAGCTGGCTATATTGTGTTCATAGGACACAATCACTTTGTAGCCTAACGCCCACAGGTTTCGAAGAGTTAAAAGTTCCTGAAATCAGCAGAATAACAGGCTTTGTTTCATTTTCGGTCAAGTATTTTTTAAATGTCATTTAAACAATAAGGCTGGCCTTATTCTATATTTTTCTAACTGTCAAAGACACTTATAAAATGACCAAACCACAAGTGTAAATGCTGTTAGTACAGCAAACCAGTCGCCATAAGAAAATGTTGGCATTGTGAATTTCTGAAAATCACAACTAGGCCTATGTTAGATTTGCATGATTTAATACCTATCATGTCAGTGTTTCTTAAGTGGTGTAGTGTATGAGCTGATTTTGTCATCGGGACATGGAGAGATTGGTAAGTGGTGTGACAGCTAGGTGAGATCTCTGCCGACCACTGTTCGAAACCAACAAACAACAAAACCATATATTTGCACCTTTGTCCTTGAGGTTGAGCGTACTTTAGAGTCTCTCATTCGAAAAGCTACGAAACAATTCACTATGGCTCACAGAAATGCCTCTAGACTTGGAAAAATAATGCCACTAACAGTCCTATATGTTATGTCACAAAGGTTAGTAACTGTTAAGCAGTTTGCCTTGCTGGACAGGTGCCCCGCAGTGATTAGCGTTACCTAGCTAACATGATTGCTCAAAGTTTCATAGGTAACAGTTAGCCTGTCATCAATACACTGTATATTGATTTTTTTTAAATGTTTTTGTTTGTTTTACAAATAGGCCAATTTATCTTTGATAATAATATGATGACTTCATTTCATTTTTTATACTGAAAAAAAGAAGAAAAAATTTAATTAAAATTTTACTTAAATTAAAACACAATATGGCGGTTCCCCTGTAGTAACTCTGAGGATCCCCTAGGTGTCCCGGACTCCTGTTTAAAACCCAGGACGTAAAGAATTGCTGATAAGAGGTCAGTAATTACATTACATTCATCGCAGATTAAATTATACAAATATTAAATAAATGGTGCCATTGCTGTTAACTCCCTAGTGATTTGAATCCAGCAATTAGTCACATCCCCGGAATCCTTTTCATAACTGTCGCGCTGCGCGTGCACGTCACGAAGCAGCAAGCTAGCTTGGACGTTGAAAACGGTTAACGCACATTTAACGGCCGGAAATATCTTTATTACTTTGATTTTATCGGGAAGGAGGGTGACAAGAAACTCGCTGTATATGGCAGCGACACTGACTCTTTCAACCGCGAAAAACACGATCTCAAATCTCCTCAAAACAGCTACCACGACCGACAGCTCAACAACGTCAATATCCAGGAAATATACCCTACCAAAGGTGAGCCCTCTGCGGCCACGAACGTTGGCTGTAGTCCGACACCGGCTCAACAACTAAACTGGATTTAAACCGTTGACAGCAGGATACAGTCGGTAAACATGAAACTTGTGGCTGGATATGTGTTGGATGAAATGCTGCCTGTCTCCATGACTGACATCCTTGAGAACATAGCGGTCACAGGCAACAGAAGAACCCCCCAGGTAAATGACACACTTACTAACTTTGTGGTGTGTAACGGGAAAGTAATCTGACTAGTAGTGTAACGATTTACTGGTCGTTTAACTACTTATGAGTAGTGTAACATTTCGCAATGTTGGCAGATTGAGAGAAACACCTGCCATTGTCACGTCTCACTTGATTCATCAATCTACAACACCGCTTTTCCTGCCGTGATATCATTGAACAACAGCATCTTTATGGTCGCCATTTTAATTGTTTCATAAGCAAATTAATTAGTTCTGATGGAGTCCTCCACTGGGCAAGTTTGTAAGCAGTTCTCTTCTTAAAGCGGGATTTATAACTAGTTTTACGCAGACTCTAAGTTACACCTAGCCCATGCAGTTGAGGGCATTTACACGTGCGGTTGTGTGTTTGTGTCACTCTGCAGTTACACCTCCAAAACACTAGTCGGCTGCGGAGGTTTCTGTGAAGTGCTGTAAAGTTTAGTTGATTCAAAACACACTCAAAATACACATTAAATATGGTTTAGTAGCGACAATTTCAAACACAAGCACACAAATTGGCTTCACTATAACTCACAGCATTCACAGAAAAACACTTGTGTTAATCCGGACACATTTTTTCCACAAATATAACATGCTAACGTTATTAGCACAAGCCTATGGCATTTTACATTGTATGAGTTAGCCAAGCAACTACCAATCTTTTCCTCTCCTCATATAAAACCAGGGACAACAGCAACATTTAACAAAGGTAACGGCACACAATTCGGCTCCATTACAACTCACAAGATTCACAGACAAAACAACTGTCATACTTAACACGTTTTCCAAACAAATACAAAATGCTAACGTTATTGGCGCCAGCCTATGGCATTTAACATGTATATTCTATAAGACATGTATAAAGTAGCCTAGCGGCAAGTGTAGTTTTCCTCTTCTCGTATGAAACCTGGATAAATCCCTAAGTATAAATCCCTGAAGGATAAGTCACACTCTTGGCACACAAGACTTAAAATGCTGTTTTAGTGGAGGCTTTACTGTCTTCACAATTTATTGTTTCTTATCTGTGAAATAAGTAAAAGCTTCGTTTCCACTGAGGGAAATGGTTTCAGTTTACAGAAACAGACAGGAGGTCTGCGTCACCGTGACGCGTAGTTACATCTCTGGGGAGGTACATGTCAGGCTACGGCGTAGGTTACGGCGTTGGCTCTACGTTGACCTGGAGCCTACGCTTTAAACCTGATTTATAGTCCTGCATTAAATCAACGACGTACCTACGTCGTTGCCATGACGCCGTCGTGAACCCTTTGAACTTCTCTGTCACTCCATTTTGTCGTGGTGCAATTCACCGCCAGAGCGGTAGGGGGCTGTGTTCCTTTCCTGAATGGTTATTGTCGTCTCTAGTTGATTCTTTGTTTTGTTTAGCTTCCAGCTTTTCCAGTCACAGTGAACAATGGCGACCGAGAGAGAGAGAGAATCTTGCTGGAGTTGGAGTTGTTGGATGTTGAAGAAAGTATGTTAATACTGCAACATCTACGTCGCAGCAGAAGATGTTTAAAGATGGCGGGGATGGCGCAATCTGGAAATACGGAACCGGAAATGCGTTGCTACCAAGAAAACCAATCACAGCCCTCTCGGTCTGCGCTGGGTCTGCATCGCCTTGACGTGTAGTTACATTTTTTGGGAGGTTCACGCCAGGCTATGCCGGGGGCTACGGCGAGCCTCCTGTGTAGCCACGTACCCTACGACGTAGGTCAGTCGTTGATTTAACGCAGGACCATAAATCAGGCTTTAGCTTTGGCATTGATTCAACAGAGAAGTATAATTTCCCTATTATGCAGCTGGTTGTCTTCGCCAATGTGTGGCTAACTGTAATACCAGTGAAGTTATTAATGAAATTTTATTAGTTACACTACAAGTTACTGGGAAAAGTAATGCTATTACTGTCAGGGAAGTCACAGTCATAGAAAACCTGGAAAAGTCATGGAATTAGCAAAAATTGTCAAAATTGTTACAGTAATTTTCCATAGATTATCTTACATGTAATATAACATAAATGCAAATTTATATTTTGTTGTCTGCTGATGTAACACAGCTCTAATGTGTGTCTATGTTTGAGGTTTAGTTTACGTAACCTACATTTTTCCATTTTCTCCCCACATCCTGTCTCTGCCTTCATGTATGCCAGCTAGCTGAAATAATGTTTGAACAGAATTTGAATCTGATATGTTTGAACAACGCTGGGCAAGTGTGGCAATAAAAAAATGTTATTATGGGTCGTTGAAGTTCTGAAATTTTGTCCATGAAAATGTGTGGGAACCCTGTACTGTTGACATAGTGTAATAAGGAAAGTAATAACATTACTTTTCAAAAGTGTAATGAGTAATGAATCACACTAACAAGCCCAACATTGCTCATGGTCTCATCTTTTATGTCAAGTAGGTGATATGTAGCCCACGAGGTCTAGAGTACAGATATTAGACGTTTTGTCAAAAAAATATGTTCTTATGGTCCTTGTCTAAACATATGACGTGAGCCAAATGGCAACTGTTCTGTTCCAAGGCTGTATTTGTACTTATTAGCATAGATTTAAATGTCACTGGGATTTTGAATGAGGTTTTCTTACTTGTGAAACAGAAACTGGAAATCCTGGTTTCAGTCTTTGACATAACTACGTAATCCCCAAGCCCATTGGTTCCAACTGAAGATTCAGATCTTAAAAACAAGTCACGAATGCACTGTATCAACAGCTGGGCACTGTAGTTTCTTTTTAATCTACCTAGACAAAAGAGTAAATAGTGTATTTGTTAGGGACTATTTTCAGCTGCGGATCAATACACAATTGGTGCTCTAGTGAAGTGTTACTCAAATTGGGGTAAGCTTACCCCTAGGAGTATTTTGGACTACTGCAGAGGGTAAGAAATATTTCTTGAAATGTTGATTTAAAAAAATATCAGTCATTCATTATTCCGAAAACAGTTAACCCTTTGAGACCTGGAGCAACTTCACTTTTCTTGTGTTGCTTTCAGACGTCTTTCGGAAGTATTTTAGCCTTTGAACCCTGAGCAAATTGGTGTGATTTCTTTCAAAAACATGGGGAAAAGGCAATGAACAACTTGGTGAGAAATGTCCCACAAAAAAAAAAAAAACAGAAATAGATTAAGACAATTGTTAAAAAAAATAGGGAAAAAGAAAAAAGCAAAGGAAAACTTTACTTGTAATAATGATTATTATTACATTTTAAAATTATTTTACAGAATTATAATTTGAGCACTCTTTCCAGGTTATTAGCTTTCTGTCTTTTCTTTTTCTTCCTTTTTTTAACCATATTTCTTGTTATTAATTTTAATTTTAAATTTCTTGCTATTTTTTGGGTCATTTGTTCTTTTGTTGCTCATTGCCTTCTTCCCATGTTTTTAAAGGAAATCAAGCCAATTTGCTTGGGTTTCAAAGGGTTAAATCACTAAATTGTAAGTGCGATTTATCAAAAAGACGCAGTTCCATGGAATTACAATGCCGTGTTAGTATTCTTGCATGATGACAAAAATAAAAAGGCTCACCATGGATTTAGTGATGAATTCTTAACCTGTACAAGTCGCATTTAGGTGTTTTTCATCTACAAGGTTGTTGGTCAGAAAATCAGACACTGATGCACAGCGCTGCGTTGTACCTGTTTTTCTGTCTACCAAAAATGTTTTTTGCTGCTTAGGGAATTCTTGGCCGAAAAAAAAAAAAAATTCTAATGGGATAGCCTACATCATTCAAATGAGTGTGAGAACCACTGCTCTACTGAGTATTTACAGCAGGATGGAATGAGTGCAGGAACATGGAGGAATAAGTTACATCAAGATTTGGCTACACAGACAATACTTGTTATTAGGATCATTTCATTGTTGATTTTGGTCTTTTCACGGGATTCATTGACAATAGGAAAAATGTAGATTATGGCCAGCCTTATTCTTTAAGTCCTTATTCGAAACTGGAGGAGAAGTTGTACCGTTTTGGGACAGAGTTTGGAGGTGAATACGTTGCGTATGGTTGTGACCAGCAGCATGTGGAGCTCCGGGCTCAGTCCGAGGAAGTGGCTGAAGGAGAGGATGACCACCTCTTTGGGATGAGCATCCAGCCACTCTCTTATCTCCATTAGAACAGTCTGCCAGGAAAACACAAGTTATTCTGCTTCTACAGCAGCACTCAGTCATTTACAGCACAATTTACAGCCTTATTTTAAAAGCTAAATGTACATGTGAAACTTGTCCCACTGCCAGGTTCAGTTATATGGTAAGACTGGGTTTTTGGTATTCACACATGGGTATACGAGATGATGGAAGTCTATAACAACCTGCCAGATCTGTTCTGGATAGACGATATTTTTTCTCCTCTCACCACCTGCCAACTCTGCTGGAGCAGAGTGTGAAGAGCATTCAGATTTATCCTACAAGAATATTTTCACTCTTATTCTGCGGCTGAGTGCCATAGAGATATCATGGAAATGCTTGCTGGTTGATTTCGTCCCGATGGGCCACCCACTCTCCACTTGCTCTGCAAGGATGGTAAAATCTTTCACATTTAGTGACTGGAAATGTTGCTGCTTTTGTTCCCACTAGAGTCATGGTGAAAAGATTTACAGAAATGTGATGAGCTGGAAAACAGCCACAGCATCTAAGACACTGTATCAGTGTTGTCAAAAATTTGGATTCTGAATGTTTGAAATGGTTTCAATAATCATTTTCTGCCATTAAAGCCTTGTAATTTATCTTTTGATAAAAATTTTAACTTTTCCTTTAATGTCAAAATTCCCCTGCAGTATAGACAATGGTATTGAATATCAGTATTTTTGAAAGTATTGCGTCAAAGTCAGGAATTCCAGTATTGTGACAACACTAAACTGGATCTTACATTGCAAAGTGTTTGCAGCACCACATGAATATTCTTAGAAAAGTTATGGTGCATGTGAGAAAGGGGTTTAAAGCGAGATTATGTAATCCTAAAAAGAGGAAACGATGCCTCCTTCCTGTTACAAATGAAATGATGAACTCATATGCAACAAAATGCACCCAAGGGGTTTTTCTGCTGTAGCCTGGTATGATCGGTAATTTAAGGTAGCAAACTTTAGATAGATATCAAACTTAATAACTGAGTGAGTTTAAAGACTTTAAGAATGTTCTTTATTTGTGCTACTACATTTTAGGAATTATTATGACCCTGTAATCGTTACTTGTCGCCACGATGTTCAGTTTAATTAGCATAGGTTTGTTTTAAGAATAAGATTCTAAATAAAAGTCCTGTTACCACTATAATAACCTTAAAATGACCATAATGTTGAGTTCAGAGTGGATTTGTAAATGCAACAAAAAAAAACACTTATCAGTCTGGATAAAGTCTTAAAAAAGCAGAGATGGGAGGATTTCGTATCTAACTACAGTGATGATTGTTTGCACAGCATGACAATACTGTTGTTCTTCATCGTTATCTTTATGGTTATAGTTGTGGATACAGATGGCCTTTACAGGAGCATAAATGTCACTGTGTTCTCGTGGATGTGTGTGTGTGTGTGTGTGTGTGTGTGTGTGTGTGCGCGTGCATGCTGTAACTTCACCTCCACAGTCAGCGTGGTGTATACACCATGGTAGAAGTAAAGATCATTTGAGCTGTCATTGGGCCTGTGTGCAATTCGCAGGTCACAGTATCTGACCCCGCAGTCCAGCTGCTGCTTTATAGTGTACTCCTGCAAGACATGGGCCACAACATTCATTGTTTAAGGTCCAGATTATTTCTTTTATTACCAATAAGTAACAATTAGCTGATGTGTGTGTGTTTCTGGGATTTATTACCTGGGTGATCGCCCACTTGTACACAAAGGGGCGAATGAAAGGCTTCATGTATTTGTCCAGCTTCTGAAGCATGTCAGGCTGGGTGAGGTCAACAGGGGATCTGTCATTCATATCCAGACAGTAGGTTATTGCATTGTGGCTACCTGATAGGGGAAGAGATAATGAACATAAATCACCACTAGACATTTGATTTTTTCATGTTATAGCTATGGTAGCTCTGAGAGCTACTGCGGCTAAAAACAACACATGCAAATAAACAAAAGACAAGCAAATGAAGAAGACATCTCAGGGCCACTTTAAATTGCTGCTAGGATACTCTTATAATTTGTTTAGAGTTATCAAAGTGTTGTGGGTAGGAGAGACTGGGGGTAATTGTAATCATTTTGGTTTTGATGTCATCACACAGAAATCTCTTGAACTACTGGGATACTTTTTAAATTGTATCTGTCTTCTCCTTGCTAACAGTCATCACATGTCTGTCCAAGTCGCTGCCTTTGCTGTTGGGATATTGGCATTGAAAGTGGTTGTTTTTCACTAAGACATCACTATCCCGCCAAGATAGCGTCATGAAGAGTGGTCGTTTTTTTACAGACATTGCTGCATTTCCTGCCAGGATAGTGCTACTAAAAGTGGTCGTTTTTTACCGAGACATGGCTGTGTTTCCTGCCAGGCTAGTGCTACTAAAAGTGGTCGTTTTTTACCGAGACACTCGCTGTGTTTCCTGCTGGGCTAGTGCTACTAAAAGTGGTCAATTTTTACCGAGATATTACCGCCTTTCCTGCCGGGATAGTGCTACTAAAAGTGGTTGTTTTTTACCTAGACATCTCTGATTTTTCTGGTGGGACAGCGGTGTTAAAAGCTGTTGTTTTTCGCCAAGACATCACTGCGTTTCCTGCCGGGATAGTGGCATTAAAAGTATTTTTTTAACTGAGACATCACTGTGTTTCTTGCCTGGATAGTGGCACGAAAAGTGATCACTTTTTTACATTTTACAGAGACATTGCTGCGTTTCCTGCCGGGATAGTGGCGTGAGAAGTGATTGTTTTTTACTAAGGCATAACTGTGTTTCTTGCTGGAACAGTGGTGTGAAAAGTGGTTGTTTTTCCAACAAGACATTGCTGCATTTCCTGCTGGGATAGTAGCACAAAAAGCGTTTTTTTTTTTTTTTTATCTAGACATTGCTGCATTTGCTGCCAGGATGGTGGCACGAAAAGCAGTTGTTTTTACCAAGACATCACTGCAAATGTAAAGTTTCTATGTATTCACTAAGTAGTAATGTGCAAGTGTAATGTATCTGTGGTTTGCAGATATGCACAGTGTCAATTTTTTCTGAGTATTGGGTTGTACATTTGCCGCTAGTCTCCCCCAAACTGAAAACACTCACACACCACACACATTTCCACTAATACACTCAGCTAACACTATAGCATGCTGTTGTATGGCAGCCTACCCGGGATGGCCAGGTGGTACAGTGGGGTGTCCCACAGGGCACATGGCAGGTGAGACATCCAGCTCTCCATAGGCAGCTCTCCCAGGCTCCGCTCACCCACCGGCGAGGACATACTGAGCTCCAGTGTCAGTGAACACACATTTAATGAGTGAGATTATTAAATGAAGCTTCCTGTGGTGTTACATCAGCAGCTTAAGGGCGCTCGTGTTTGTTTCGGGGGTCTGAATATGATAAATGTACATTATGTGCAGCAAACTTCACACACAGTAAGGTGAGAGCTGTTTATATCACACTTACTCGGTCAAAGTGCTGCTGCTGCTCCCTGCACTCGCCAAACCAGCTGAACCACCCAACACACCGAGCAGGGCACAGACGATGAAACTACAACTAAAGGCGCGCGCCGGCAGAAGTCCATCCCAGAGCATTACAGCATGTCATGACTGTACATTAAACATGAATGATCCGGAGATAAAGCGTGGCCGTGTGTCCCTCTCCCAGCAGCTCTCTGTCTGGTTACCTTTTACACCTGCATAGCCCGGGATGACGAGGACGGTGGGCATGGCGCATTTTAGCTTCGATTATCGATTATCCATGGCGATCGAATATCAGTTGTATGATCCGCGGGCTCAGGTGCATCAGCATAGAGTGAGTTCCTCTGTACGCCGGGTGCTTCGGTCTCCTGAGGTGCAGCAGCGGCAGTGCGCGGGGAGGGCGGCGGCACCGCGCCTGCTGACAGATCAGCAGATGCAGAGAGGCTCTCCTCTTAAAGAGCCCACTGAAATGTCAGGGAGACAGAGAGGGCAGAGAAGTGATGATGATGCTCCACTCGCTGTCTGTGGCTGGAAACTCCCAAACATACTGCAGCCCTGCCCCGGGCCCCAGCTCGCACAGGTGATGTCACAGAAAGTGTTTCCCATCAGCTTTTAATGCCATAACACCTGATGAGACGTCACTGATGGGTGTGGCAGGAGGTGCTCCAGGCAGCTCCACAGCAAGTGTTGGGACTTAGCTCAAACTGTTTTGAAGTTCAGACATGGATTTGTTTTAACCCGAATTTTGTTTGGTTTGCATTTTTTATTTCTCCTAGCTATTTGGGATCAGTAGGACCCGATAAGTATAAAAAAACTTGTAATGGTAATTGGTAAGTCCCAATGTCCTCATATGAGTACTTCCTAATGAACAGTGTCTTAGCTTGTTACTGTTACTAAAATTGGTCAAATTTGTTGCCATATCAAACTACAAATTTCATTAATCGGAAATAAACAAGTTTCATTCATAAAATGTGATCAGGTTTTGAACCTTGTCCACTTTTGTGTCAGGATCAGCTGCAGACTGACTTGGCAGAGATGGCTGCCATCTTGTTTTTAATAGGATTAGTGTATCATGCTCTTACTAGTGCTAAGTGGCATAAAAAGTATCCACGAATGAGGACAACAGTCTGAGTTAAGTGGAATAAAGTGTAACGTCAAGTAAACCCAAAATGTGATGTCCTCATATGGGGACACAGGGTCTCAGGAGGTTAAAAGATAGATAGATTCATCACATTATCTACATAAGTTTGAGGTCAAAGGATATTTCAAAATGGTCACAACGTACAAAAATATAAGTGCAACACGTTTGTTTTTGCCTGTGTTTTCCACGAGACTTTACCTGTGCACACTATAGTCTTATTTCTCACAAGTATTTGTCCACAAATGTGTTTAAATCCATGTTACTGAGCACTTTTCCTTTTTGAAGATAAGCCATGACAGGTGCAGCATATCGAGGTGCTTATTAAACAGCATCGCAACTACACAGATGTGTCATGGAATAGTCATAATCAAACTCTTAAATGTGCAGCTTCATCCCACAATACTGCCACAGATGTTGAAAGTTTTGAGGGAGTGTGTATGTCGTTTGCATGAATTTGGCAGTACATCCAACGACCACCCGAACAGCCGATGCAACCGTTGGTTTGCACGACAGAATAATTTCTGCACAAACTGTCAGAAATTGTCTCATGGATGCTCATCAAAGTTTTGAAAGATGAAGTAGCCAGATGTGGCTGGCTCACTGGGCTGCTTGTATGTAATGGCAAATTCTCGGAAACGTCACTGGAAATGGCTTGTGGTACTGAAATGGTCATGTTCTCATCATCTTAGAAATATTTAAAAAATAGATCCCTTTTAACTTTTAAAGACACAGAGACATTTTTATATGCCTTAATCTCTTTAAGAGTTAACTGATCACTTTTAAGGCTCTTCATGGTCTCTCTCCCAGCTGTATCTCAGACCTCTTAGTGCCATACACACCAGGACGTACTCGGGCAGAGGACTTTTGTCTGTTGTCTGGAACAATCTGCCCGAGGAAATCAGGTCGGCCAAGTCAGTGATGTCTTTTAAGTCTCTTCTTAAAACAGACTTTAATCTGAAAGGCTTTTCTGATTTTACCTGAGTTTTAAGAGTTAAAGTTGTTGTTTTCATGACATGTAAAGCACTTTGTAACTCTGTTTTGAAAAGCGCTTCATAAGTAAAAATTATTATTATCATTATTATGAATATTCAGTTCACGGGCAACAACTCTGATGCCAATTCCACGCTCCCTTAAAAACTTGCAGCATGGATTACGTTAGCAAAGTACTCACTAACATAGCTTTAAACAAATGTGTGAACAAACTCTGAGATAGTTGAGCCTTTTGTGTGCATAGAAAAAGGCTGGGATTTTTTAAAATAGTTCAACTCATGAAAAATGGAGGCATAAACAAAAGAACCGCATTTATATTGTTGCTCAGTGTAATTATGACCCACTCAAAAAAAAAAATTGCTCCATAGCGCTACCAGTGGTCAAAAACTCAACAGGAGGGCTTTTATAAGATGTATTACTGCTTTGCAAGTTTATTTTCTGGTACTTCTCTGATGTTTCCTTTTTTAGTTGTATAATTTTGGATAGTTTTACGTCTTCAGGGCCCTCAAAGTGATTGAAATTAAGGAAACTGAAGAGGGAGCACCACTGCTTTGGTGTCACAAGCTGGGTGATAACATCTATAAGTTCTTTATTCTATAAAATGTAAGTTAGCTGTGTAGGTACATGTAAGGTTACCTTTTATTTTTAGGCTATAAACACCAGCTATAATCAGATGTCGTCATGTTTGGGTTAAAGATGTCGTGGCAGCTGTCTTTTATCTTAAAATGTGTCGTAAACAGGTAATGATTTTAGAACTGTGACCTTTGTACTAAAACAGACTTCCCAAGAGGAAACTGATTAAGTTGTCTGTTTGTTTGTGATAATTTGGCTGGTCAGGTCTTTCTCAGCTTCCTCAGCGGGTCAATAAACCCTGAAACAGCACGAACCAGTGCGGTGAAACTAGACAAACTGCCTCCAGAGCATGTTAAGTTCAACCTTGCTGACACTGGATCAAACTACACCAGGCCTTTCCCTGCTCTGCCTCTCTAGTAAATGCCTTTCTTTGCAGCACGTTTTGGTATGTCATCAGTGACAGCACAGGTTTAATCAGACAGTAATTATGGTTGTGATTCATTGTGTGGTCACATAGTCTCATCATTGTACATGCTGCCTCAGTGAGACGCCTAAACTGAATAGAGCAGTCACTCATCACTGGTATTAATAACACTAGTGCTTTAACTGCTGTGAAAAGGCATGTGGAAAAGGACACATATTCTATATATAGCCTTACTCCATTTGATCACACACTGTGTACAGTGGTGGTTTGAGTTGATAAGTGTGGTGATGCTGCCATCTAGCTTTGCTCCCAAAAACTGATGTGTTTCAGTACAAGGGCAAACTATAATAGTATTTTAAGCATCCTTCTGTTGATGCTCATTCTTTCTTTCTTTCTTTCTTCCTCCACTTCTTTCCTCTGTTAAGGAAGAAACTTTAAAAAAAAATAATGCAAAACTGGTCTCCTAAAAATGACAGTTTTATAGTATAAGGTCTTATAATATTGCCATATAAAGAACACAATTATTAATACATATTTTCCAATGTACTTTGCCAAAATAACAGTGCATGTGTTATACTTTTCATTGTGATTACTCCTTGTTGACCAGTCATCCACTCAGTGACAACAAATCTTCCACCACACCATTGTATAACAGTGTATTTGTAAAACTAAACTCGCGAAGAAGTGAAAACCAGCTCGTCATGATGCCACACCTGTTTGTCGCCACAGTTATCTTGATATGTGTTACAAATGAGCTGATGGATTCAAATTCATCTGCTCTCTTACCTCATTTAAAAAGGTAATTTGTCTTGGCCTCTGAGGATGAGCACAAATTGACCGTCTCTTTTGAATGCATTATCTCACTTAAGCCAAGAAGCACGAAATCTTGGAGTGATATTGATTGTGATTGAAAATTCAAAGCTGATGTCAGGGGTGTCACAAAAGCAGTACTTTATCATTTAAAGACCATCTCAAAAAGGAGGCAGTTTGTCTCTCTTAAGAGTAATACAGAGAGACTGATGCACAGCTACAATTAATTAAAAATTAAGCAGCTTGAGTGCTGACTGAGGCCAAAAAGAGAGCACACATTACACCTATTTTTAAGTCTAACACTGGTTACTGGTTAGTTAAACTGGTTAGCTGGAATAATTTTAAAATTCTCCTCAGATACTCCAGTTCTTCCCTTATAACTGCTCCACAAAGCAGAACAAAAACTTTTGGTGATGCTGCTTTCAGCCATTATGCTCTTGAAACAGCCCTCCAGAGAATCTAAAAATATTTATATTTTTACTTGAAACTAAATCTATATTGTCTGGCTTTTATGTAGTGTTTAAGAATTTTGTGGTTTTATTAATTATTTCCAGTTAAATTTCACTTTTCTTTCTTTTATCAACACTTATCCATTTTATTTTATTTTATTAACATTTTACCATTTAACATCCCAAGATTCGTCAATCTCTTGTAAAGCACTTTGATGTGCATTTGATTTGTTAGAAATGTGCTTTATAAATAAAGTTAGATTGATAACACTCAATGTGTGCACTCAGAAATGACGAGGATGTAGCAAAGTGAAACAAACCTTCATTATAACTCATTGCAGATCATTATGATTTGCATTTTTTTCCACCAAAGTCACACACTGATAATCTGCAGATCTTATTCTGAGTGAACACTGGGGCCAAAATAACAAACAAACTGAAACTTGACACCAAATGCTTTGTCAGATTATTTATTTGTTGATCAGATACCCTCATTTAAAATCCCAATTTTGTTAATTTTCTGATGTTTGTATTAAGACACCTTTAAACATTGATGCCTTTAAAAAGAAAAAAATAAAGCTTTTGTGGTAAAAATGAGTCAGTACAAAGTAACATGTCACCACAAGTACTGAATTGGCATTTGTATCAAAAGTCCTAACAATGTCCAGCACTAATAAACCAGTTATTCCAGGTTCTTTAATATCAAAAAAGGTGACACAAGTAACAGAAAAATATGCCGGGCTCCAAAAGTAAACTTGAGTTAACTAGTCTGTGATGATGAAGGCTGATCATGTGATGTTCTGAGGCCAGTGAAGAAGACAATCTGACTGCCATCGATTACATATCTGTACTGTGTCTTTGCTTTTATGCATCAGGGAATGTAATTATACTTTGTTACACACATCTTTCTATTTTAAGACAAGAACTTGAATGCATTTATGATCCTTTTCTCTAACCAGGACATAACATACTGTAACCTGCAAAACCAAAAAGGTACTAATAGTGTGAAACGGCATTCTTTTGCACAAAAGGCATTTCTGTTCATAAAAATGACCCCACTGCTGGACACAGTCAGTATATCACCTGTGGGGTTAACTGTAACAGACAAATGTGCATGAAACAGGTGC